GCCCCGGCCCGCTAGCACACGCTAGCCGTGGCCTCTTACTCGCTAGTGCTTTAGCAGCCTCCGAACTATCCTATTGCTGTTCACCGGACCTTACGATAACTCAGCTATACAGCTGATGTCTGCTGGACTGTTCCTTTTTACGGTACTACATCCTGTTTATGTTTAGCCTCAGCCCAAACATGGTTAGCTTATTGTTGTTTCGGTTATTTCTAATTGTACTATTTCACTGTAGATCCCCCAGCCCAGCTAAACCTGCCTTAGATAGCTCCTTTGTCCCACCCCCCATACACGCAGAGACCGACTCAATTGATGCTATCTCTTTCATTGTTACCCAACGCTTAGGTTTACCTCCACTTTACTCATATCCTTCCATATCCTTGTCTGTACATAATGCCCTGAATCTTTTCTACAACACCCGGAAATCTGCCCCCTTTATTCTATGTACCCAACGCACTAGAAGACCAGTTCTTAAAGCCTTTAGCCGTATCCTTATTCTAGTCCTCCTCTGTTCCTCTGGTGATGTAGAGGCTAACCCAGGCCCTGCAGCCCTCAGTATCACTCCTACTCCCCAGGCACTATCATTTGCTGACTTCTGTAATCGCAAAAGTCTTGGTTTCTTGCACATAAATATCAGAAGTCTACTTCCTAAGTTTGAGTTATTCACTGCGTTAGCACACTCCGCCAACCCTGATGTTCTAGCAGTGTCTGAATCCTGGCTCAGGAAGGCCACCAAAAATTCTGAAATTTCCATCCCCAACTATAACATTTTCCGTCTAGATAGAACTGCCAAAGGGGGTGGAGTTGCAATCTACTGTAGAGATAGCCTGCAGAGCTCTATCATACTATCCAGGTCTGTGCCCAAACAGTTTGAGCTTCTACTTCTAAAAATCCACCTTTCCAGAAATAAGTCTCTCACTGTTGCCGCTTGCTACAGACCCCCCTCAGCCCCCAGCTGTGCCCTGGACACCATATGTGAATTGATTGCCCCCCATTTATCCTCAGAGTTCGTACTGCTTGGTGACCTAAATTGGGATATGCTTAATACCCCGGCCATCCTACAATCCAAACTAGATGCCCTCAACCTTATGCAAAATATCAACGAACCTACCAGGTACAACCCTAAATCCGTAAACATGGGTACCCTCATAGATATCATCCTGACTAACATACCCTCTAAATACACCTCAGCTGTCTTCAACCAGGATCTCAGCGATCACTGCCTTATTGCCTGCGTCCGTAACGGGTCCGCGGTCAAACGACCACCCCTCATCACTGTCAAACGCTCCCTAAAACACTTTAGCGAGCAGGCCTTCCTAATTGACCTGGCCCAGGTATCCAGGATGGATATAGATCTCATTCCGCTAGTAGAGGATGCCTGGTTGTTCCTTAAAAGTAATTTCCTCTCAATCTTAAATAAACATGCCCCATTCAAAAAATACAGAACTAAGAACCGATATAGCCCCTGGTTCTCCTCAGACTTGACTGCCCTTGACCAGCACAAAAACATCCTGTGGCGTACTGCATTAGCATCAAATAGCCCCCGCGATATGCAACTTTTCAGGGAAGTTAGGAACCAATATACACAAGCAGTCAGGAAAGCAAAGGCTAACTTTTTCAAACAGAAATTTGCATCCTGTAGCACTAACTCCAAAGAGTTTTGGGACACTGTAAAGTCCATGGAGAATAAGAGCACTTCCTCCCAGCTGCCCACTGCACTGAGGCTAGGAAACACTATCACCACCGATAAATCTACAATAATCGAGAATTTCAACAAGCATTTTGCTACAGCTGGCCATGCTTTCCATCTGGCTACCACTACCCCGGCCACCAACTCTGCACCCTCCGCTGCAACTTGCCCATGCCCCCCCCCCGCTTCTCCTTCATACAAATTCAGACAGCTGATGTTTTGAAAGCGCTGCAAAATCTGGACCCCTACAAATAATATAATATAATATAATATAATAATAATATGCCATTTAGCAGACGCTTTTATCCAAAGCGACTTACAGTCATGCGTGCATACATTTTTGTGTATGGGTGGTCCCGGGGATCGAACCCACTACCTTGGCGTTACAAGCGCCGTGCTCTACCAGCTGAGCTACAGAGGACCACAAATCAGCTGGGCTAGACAATCTGGACCCTTTCTTTCTAAAACTAGCCGCGGAAATTGTCGCAACCCCTATTACTAGTCTGTTCAACCTCTCTTTCATAACGTCTGAGATCCCCAGAGATTGGAAAGCTGCCGCGGTCATCCCCCTCTTCAAAGGGGGTGACACTCTAGATCCAAACTGCTACAGACCAATATCCATCCTGCCCTGCCTTTCGAAAGTATTTGAAAGCCAAGTTAACAAACAGACCATTTCGAATACCACCGTACCTTCTCCGCTATGCAATCCGGTTTCCGAGCTGGTCATGGGTGCACTTCAGCCACGCTCAAGGTCCTAAACGATATTATAACCGCGATTGATAATAGACAGTACTGTGCAGCCGTCTTCATCGACCTGGCCAAGGCTTTCGACTCTGTCAACCACCGCATTCTTATTGGCAGACTAAATAGCCTTGGTTTCTCAAATGACTGCCTCGCCTGGTTCACCAACTACTTCTCAGATAGAGTTCAGTGTGTCAAATCGGAGGGCCTGTTGTCTGGACCTATGGCAGTCTCTATGGGGGTGCCACAGGGTTCAATTCTTGGGCCGACACTTTTCTCCATGTATATCAATGATGTCGCTCTTGCTGCTGGTGACTCTCAGATCCACCTCTACGCAGACGACACCATTTTGTATACATCTGGCCCTTCATTGGACACTGTGTTAACAAACCTCCAAACGAGCTTCAATGCCATACAACACTCCTTCAGTAGCCTCCAACTGCTCTTAAACACTAGTAAAACTAAATGCATGCTTTTCAATCGAACGCTGCTGGCACCCGCCCACCCGACTAGAATCATCACTCTCGACGGGTCTGACCTAGAGTATGTAGACAACTACAAATACCTAGGTGTCTGGTTAGACTGTAAACTCTCCTTCCAGATTCACATAAAGAATCTCCAATCCAAAGTTAAATCTAGAATCGGCTTCCTATTTCGCAACAAAGCCTCCTTCACTCATGCTGCCAAACATGCCCTCGTAAAACTGACTATCCTACCGATCCTTGACTTCGGCGATGTCATTTACAAAATAGCCTCCAACACTCTACTCAGCAAATTGGATGTAGTCTATCACAGTGCCATCCGTTTTGTCTCCAAAGCCCCATACACTACCCACCACTGTGACCTGTACGCTCTTGTTGGCTGGTCCTCACTACATGTTCGTCGTCAAACCCACTGGCTCCAGGCCATCTATAAATCACTGCTAGGCAAATCCCCGCCTTATCTTAGCTCATTGGTCACCATAGCAGCACCCACCCGTAGTCTGCGCTCCAGCAGGTATATCTCACTGGTCATTCCCAAAGCCAACACCTCCTTTGGCCGCCATTCCTTCCAGTTCTCTGCTGCCAATGACTGGAACGAATTGCAAAAATCTCTGAAGCTGGAGACTCTTATCTCCCTCAATAACTTTAAGCATCAGTTGTCAGAGCACCTTACCGATCACTGCACCTGTACACAGCCCATCTGAAATTAGCCCACCCAACTACCTCATCCCTATATTGTTATTTATTTTGCTCTTTTGCACCCCAGTATCTCTATTTGCACATAATCTCTTGCACATCTAGCATTCCAGTGTTAATACTATTGTAATTATTTTGCACTATAGCCTATTTATTGCCTTACCTCCATAACTTGCTACATTTTCACACACTGTATATATATTTTCTGTTGTATTTTTGACTATGTTTTTTACCCCATATGTAAGTCTGTGTTGTTTTTATTGCACTGCTTTGCTTTATCTTGGCCAGGTCGCAGTTGTAAATGAGAACCTGTTCTCAACTGGCTTACCTGGTTAAATAAAGGTGAAAAAAATAAAAATAAATGCAGCTCCACTACACGATACACTTAAAAAAAAGTTGCATTAGACAGGAATACCAACACATAGTGACCGGTTCAAATAGACAGACGCGTGCTATATGGCAGACCAATCCGAACTCCTCTCTCGGCATGTCCTGCCCACTCATTATCTCAGCCAATCATGGCTAGTGGGAAAGTTGCTGACTTTTTCTGTGGCTTAACCAACTAAGCTCGTAATTTAACAATTGTATTCGTATTTACAGATGACATACAAAATTGTTATTAAGGCACATTCAAGTTCACATGATCCAGAAGGCATTTCTGCCAAAAAACGCATTTGGATTTAAAAAAAAGTTTGTGATAAAATAGCACAGTTGATTGTGATGCCCTTTACTTTCCTCTGCTTTTAAGGAAGAGACCAACCAACCTACAACCATTTTACTGAAGTGGACACACTGCCCTCTAGTGATGCTCTACAATATTACAGACAGTCATTCACAAAACTCACTCCACCATTCATTCTTCACATTGACACTCACTATTCAATATGCTGCTATTAATACATGGCTGAAAAAGTCAACCATTCGCCACACAAGAGGAGAAAGCCTTAGTCAGCAAAACAGAAAGAGTCTAATCTAGAGAAAAACATTTAAAATAAAGAAATTAAAAGAAGTGCCAAGGTGAGGTCGGTCCACTCCTTAACTGCATCCCAAATGGCACCCTATCCCCTATATAGTGCACTATTTTTTAACATAGCCCTATGGGCCCTGGTCAAAAGTAATGCACTATGTAGGGGATAGGGTGCCATTTGGGACGTAACCCTTGTCCCCCGGAGGCAGTAAAGTGCTAATGCAGTTATAACTCATTCATAATATATTACTAACCAACAAGCATCAAACACCAAAAGAGACCCATTGTCTCTCCTGTGTACCCGGCTAGGAATTGAAAAAGTATTGAATCAAGACTAGGGGCATTCACAAGGTTCACTGCAAGTGTATTGAGAAAATCTGAAGTGAGACTAGAGACACATTTCTAAAATGTTGGTCTCTGACGTCCCTTAGGGCTAAAGTGAGAAAGACTGATCCAAAAACAGCACAGAGGGATGTGAGAACACTTTCAGGATGAGAGAATCTCTACTAACTCTGAATCCCAAATCAACCCTTAAGCCCTAACGCCCAGACACTTGTGTAGATTTCAGAGGATTGGATATGTGTAAGTAATATGGTGGTAGCTCCATCTTGCCCTTGATAGTCCAAGTGGAATTGTTGCCATTTTGCAGACACCTGTTCCAATCCTCTCAGATCTACACAAGTGCCTAGGGGGTAAGGACTAGGGGGTTGATTTGGGGTTATGTACTAGGCCTTGTGGCCAGGACTGGTGTAGCAGGACCCCAAGGGTTAATAGACTAACCGTGCTGTGGAAGACCACACTGTGTCCGTTTCCGGTGCTCTCCATGTGTGTGTGTGCATGTGTCTGTATGTCCTGTACGGACTAACCGTGCTGTGGAACACCACACTGTGTCCGTTGCCTGTGCTCTCCATGTGTGTGGCCAGGTTAAGGCAGATGGCCCGGTGTCTGATGGCGTCCATGGTCTGGGCATCAAAGAAGTCATGGGGCCTCGCTGGTGGGAGAGGAGACACTGGGATGAGAGCAGAGAGAGTCTGGGATGAGAGGTGAGGAGACAGCCATGAGAAACACCATGCAGACAAGTGAGACAGCAGTGAGACCAGACCAGCACCAGCATTACCGTCTCCTGATGAAGATGATTACTATGAAACAGTGTGAAATGAGACAACTTGTTAAATGGTTCCTTGCTGCTTTATTACTGCATTACTACTATGAGCTGAACATATTATTCAAGAGTGCAAGGATGAGAGAGAGAATGTGTTGGCTGGCTGCTGAAAATTAATCAAGGGCATTTTCATGTCAAAAGATATTTAGAAAAGTGCTGTCTGTCCTCTCACATTTCTTTATCTCCTGACAAAGAGCCAGACACCATCAACAATTCCTCACAAGTGCTGTTCCAAGTGAGAAGTAATATTTTGTTCGGCCCTTTAACAATCGTTCTTTGAAGTCTAGCCGAGCTCAAAAAGCCTGTTTGCCCGAGGATGGCCCACTCAAGCTGAAGGAGGTACCTGAAGTAACAAACCATTCCAACCCCTCAGTACCTAGGAAATGTGTGTGTGTGTGTGTGTGTGTGTATATTTTGTTGTGTTACAGCCTGAATTCAAAATGGATACATTTGTTTTTCTTTCTCACCCATCTACACACAATACACCATAATGAAAACATGTTTTTAGAAATATTAGCACATTTATTTAAAATGAAATATAGAAATATTTCATTTACATAAGTATTCACACCCCTGAATCAATATTTTGTAAAAGCACCTTTGGCGGCGATTACAGCTTTGAGTCGTCTTGGATATGTCTTTATCAGCTTTGTATATCTGTATTTGGGGATGTTTTCCCATTTTTCCTTGCAGATTTTTTCAAGCTCTGATAAGTTTGATGGGGAGCGATGGTGAACAGCAATCTTCAAGTCTTTTCACATATTTACAATGGGATTCAAGTCTGGGCTTTGGCTGGGCCACTCAAGAACTTTCACATTCTTGTTCTGAAGCCATTCCAGCGTGACTTTAGCTCTATGCTTGGGGTCATTGTCCTGTTGGAACGTAAATCTTCGCCCCAGTCTAAGGTTGTTTGCACTGTGAAGCAGGTTCTCATCAAGGATTTTCCTGTATTTGGCTCCATTCATTGTTCCCTCTATCCTTACCAGTCTCCCAGTCCATGCTGCTGAAAATCATCCCCATAGCATGATGCTGCCACCACCATGCTTCACGGTAGGGATGGTGTTAAACAGGTGATGAGCTGTGCCTGGTTTTCTCCAGACATAGCGCTTTGCATTCAGGCCAAATACTTACATTTTTGTCATCACAGAATCTTTTGCCTTATGATCTCAGAGTCTTTCACGTGCCTATTTGCAAACTCCAGGCGTGCTGTCATGTGCATTTTTCTCAGGAGTGGCTTCTCTCTGGCCACCCTCCCCTAAAGCCCAGATTGGTGAAGTGCTGTAGAGACTGTTTTCATTCTGGCATGTTCTCCCATCTTAGCCAAGGAACTCTGTTGTTCTGTCAGAGTGGTCATTTGGACATTGGGTTCTTGGTCACCTCCCTGACCAAGGTCCTTCTTGCCCTGGTTGCTCAGTTTGGTTGGACGGCCAGCCCTACGCAGAGTCTGGGTAGTTCCATTTTTTTCCGGATTGACGGAATGCCAAGAGTGTGCAAAGCTGTCATCAAGGCAAACGGTGGCTACTTTGAAGAATTTCAAATATAAAATATATTTTGATTTGTTTAACACTTTTTTGGTTACTACATGATTCCATATGTGCTATTTCATAGTTTCGATGTCTTCACTATTATTCTACAATGTAGAAAATAGTAAAAAATAAAGAAAAACACTGGAATGAGCAGGTGTCCAAACTTTTGACTGGTACTGTATGTAAATAAGATATTTCTGTATTTCATTTTCAATACATTTGCAAAAAATTCAAAAAACATGTTTTCACTTTGTCATTATGGGGTATTGTGTGTAGATGGGTGAGAGAAACATAAATGTCCTCGACTAACCTGTACCCCCTGTATATAGCCTCGTTCTTGTTATTTTCTAGTTAATGTAAAACATTTTTACTTGAGTTTCTTTAGTAAATATTTTCTTAACTCTTATTTTTCTTAAAACTGCATTGTTGTTTAAGGGCTTGTAAGTAAGCATTTCACTGTAAGGCCTACTACACCTGTTGTATTCGGCGCAAGTGACAAATAAAATTTGATTTGATTTGATTTAATCCATTTTGAATTCAGGCTGTAACAACAAAATGTCATGTCAAGGGGTATGAATATTTTCTGAAGGCACTGTATGTGAGTGTGTGTGTTTGTGTGTGTGTGTGTGTGTCGTCCAATTCTAACCTCTCTTCCCAGAGGACTAAAAGGGTTATGAGGCTAAAACATCTATTTTAGAGTGACACACACACAGCAACCACTTGCACACACACACTAAGATAAATACACAGTCCACTACTATTCCTTAATAAGGTTTACCATGTATTCTACTTCAATAAAATAGATAAAATATAAAGTAGGCTATAACTAGTTTATACATTTTTTAATTTTTTTGTCATTTAGCAGACGCTCTTATCCAGAGCGACTTACAGTTAGTGAGTGCATACTGGCCCCCCGTGGGAAACGAACCCACAACCCTGGTGTTGCAAGCGCCATGCTCTACCAACTGAGCTACAGTAGAAAATGTACATGAAGGCATATTGTTGTAAAACATTTTCGAGAACATAGTTTTTGTTATCTACTTCCTGTAGTTTCTAAGCAGGGTGGGTAGTGTATTACCTTGGTTAAACCAGACTGAACTCTGCGGTGAAAATGTAAAATGTCAATGTAACAATAGTAAGCGCATGGGTCAGTCTGGTATAACCAGGCTAGTAGTGTATGTAAGCACCCACACACACACACACACACACTAGTGGGTACGTACGTAGGGAGCGCCTGCGTTTGTTCATCAGGAATCGTTTCTTTCTCTTATTAAGCCCCGCCTTAGAGGGAGACTCCTCCTTCAGTCTGCCCTGACTGGACAGCTTAGAGGAGCTCTGCTGGCTGAAGTGGGTGGGAACATGGCGCGCTAGCCCCCCCTGGGACGCAAAGCTGGCATTGCAGCCCCCGACCACACACTACAGTGGGATGGAGAGGGGAAGAGGGGGATCGAAAGAGAGGAAGAGAGAGAGAGAGAGAGAGAGAGAGACAGCAAGGGTCAGTGACAAGCAGGTCACCATTCAGTAAACCACCATCTGGTAACAATGCCAAGATCTTGGGTTCAATTTCCGCAGGGATCGCAAGCACATACTAAAAATATATGCGCTCACTGTACTTCGGATAAATGTGTCTGCCTTGTGGAATATATTATTACATTACCTTGAAGGGTTTGTCTCCGCTGTGTGTCAGCATGTGTCTCTGGAGCCAGCTCTGACTGGTGGAAGGGGTGTTGTACACCTTACAGCCCTTCCACAGACACACAAACACCTGGAGAAAGAGTGTGCATGTGAGAAAGAGAGAGTGAGATGGCGTGAGGAAGAGAGTTAGAAATCGGGAGACAGAGAAAAGGGAGAGAGAAAGAGTTGGATATGGAAGAGAGAGAAAGATCAGACAAGCAAAACATTTTTGAGAACAAGTCGCTTCTCCAGACAACCGTTTGCGGGCTAACAAGTGGGTCTAAAGAGGAATAGAGAGATGGAGTGAGGGAGCGTGATCCCACAGAGACACACAAAGCTTAAAATACGTGTAGCCTACAGAACAGCCTGTATTACCCTGGTTCTACCCACCCCTCCTCTCTGTCCGTCGACATGCACGCCCCTGATGTGTTCAGCCAGGTCAGGGCTGCAGGTGAAGCAGAGGCCACACTGGTCCCAGCAACAGGTATAGCCAACCGCCTGGCCCTTGGTACTGGAGTGGCACTGGACGGCACTGCCCTGCCCGTTCATCATGGCTGGGGTGGAACGCCCGCTGGATACCGTGCTCTCCATGTCCATTAGGGTACTGCTGATACTGAGAGAGAACAAGAAAAAAAAAAGAGTTATTGAGAGGTTAAAGAGATGTTACAGTGACTCACTGTAGCAAACTGACCAGAGCTAAAATAGTCCAGCAGTTCCGCTAGCCTCTCTCTTTAGACTGTGATCTAATGATCCACTACTAAGAATTAAGAGTGAACAAGAAGTAGACATCTGTATTCTGACTATACATGACAGTAAAGAAAAGGTGTGTAAAAGGTTGCGACAGTAGGGTGGAGCATTGTTTCTAATGGAACAGATTGCCTGTGTGTGTGTGTGTGTGTGTGTGTGTGTGTGTGTGTGTGTACTCAAAGCTGTACATGCACCTGCTGCAGCGGCTGATTTGATACGCATGCCATTTCTGGGGGTTTTAGACATGATTTATGGCCAGGGCATAAAATGAACACCCGCGGGTAAATGTAGGTATTGGCTGGTAAGAACATCCATTTCACAAACCACATAGGCTGGTGGTCAATTTGTAGGGCTCTACAGTGCGAGCATCACAATCGCAAAAAAAGTAAAGTATGAGTACATGTGCGATATGTGACTTATACAGTACTTTTACATTTTTCTGCTATATCTGCCGTTTTGTTTCATAGCTGCTAATCACACAAAGAAATACGAATCCTGCCTGGTTGGGGAGCTGTGCGCACTGAGTTAAGTGCTGATATGATAGATTCATTTTTAGAGGTGCTATGCACAGGCATAAAAGTTGGTCTAATTTACTTGAAAGTCTTCAAAGTGACTTCTTGGCTACTTACATTGTTTTGTTCACAAGCTCGGCTGTTTTTCAATGTTCGTTTGAGTTTGACGCTTCAACTGATAGCAAAGAGATGCCATCTACTACTACTTAGATCCTAAATCTCTCACACACACGACACGAGTCGAGTGCCCGATTATAACGGTAATCTCCCGCCCTTAAAGGGGAAGCTGAACATTTTGTCTCATCTGGTATTTTGGTTAAAAGACTCAGGTCACAAAAAATGAAATGAAATTGAACAATATAGCCTACCACATTACTTCTTACTAATATATTTTTTGTTTTAGAAACATTACAAAGCATGGTCATCCGCAGTGGTGTAGTGGTGCCTGGAGAAGTGGGTGTACCCTAATTTGGCCAATTAGAGTACACCCAGAGAAGGAAAGGCGCCCTGTGTGAAACATTCTATGAGGAACAGTTAAGCTGAACGACTTAAAATGACAAATCTCATATTGGTCTTTCACAGTCAGGCCAACTGAAGCTGTACTGTGCAGTAAGCTAATAGTGGGCCTACTATTGAAACAGATAAATGAGGCTGAGTCATAAATTCACACTTTTTTAATAGAAAAACAACAAAATTGGATGTTAAGTCCATAACAATGCTTAAACCACATCAGGAGACACTTTTGAGGTCTGGGAATAATCATTTTAGATTTTTGAGTGTAGTTACCCTTGAATTCAAGTGCACAGGCACCTAGCACTGTTGTTTGTTTATCATGCTTCTGTAGCACGAGATGGAGTATGCAAAACAAATGGCCACTGGACTGATGCAAACAATTATGATATCATTCTGCCAGGTAGGCATAGGCTACTTTGTAGCTAGTTAACATTTAATTGAGAAGATATTGGGAAAGCCTTTCCATCTACTAGAAGACAGCTAGGCCTATCATTAGCATAGCTATATTTTTCCTGTTCCTTAACTCGTTTGAAACCTAGACGTTTTACTTAATATTATGAGTCAAATCTTACCTTGCTTCAAAGTAGCCTATAGCCAAAATCCCACCATAGAAACGTGGAGGGAATTATTTTATAAAGACTTCCTCATATGCATTCTCCTCTTCTATGTTTTTATTTTCTCCAACTTTCTTTCATTGTCTAGCAGCCAAAGGCATTATCCTAGTCATATTAGCAACCCATTATAGTTGTTGCATCTTTAGATCTCCCCTCTTTCAAAATTTCTAATGGATATTTCCATCTCTGTCCATGAAACCGCTCACATGTGCAGTGCACATTTTAGAACAGTGTTTTCTGCTAATTGCATTTTGGAACATTCAGGCGTAGCCCTACTTTTAAGTGCACATTGCTGCACTTAAAATATGAACAAATAATAGTTTATCAACATTTTAAGCTATACATTCAGAACCTGTTTAGCAAAAATATATATACAGTGAGGAAAAAAAAGTATTTGATCCCCTGCTGATTTTGTACATTTGCCCACTGACAAAGACATGATCAGTCTATACTTTTAATGGTAGGTTTATTTGAACAGTGAGAGACAGAATAACAACAACAAAATCCAGTAAAACGCATGTCAAAAATTTTATAAATTAATTTGCATTTTAATGAGGGAAATAAGTATTTGACCTCTCTGCAAAACATGACTTAGTATTTGTTGGCAAAACCCTTGTTGGCAATCACAGAGGTCAGACGTTTCTTGTAGTTGGCCACCAGGTATTATGTTCCACTCCTCTTTGCAGATCTTCTCGAAGTCATTAAGGTTTCGAGGCTGACGTTTGGCAACTCGAACCTTCAGCTCCCTCCACAGATTTTCTATGGGATTAAGGTCTGGAGACTGGCTAGGCCACTCCAGGACCTTAATGTGCTTATTCTTGAGCCACTCCTTTGTTGCCTTGGCTGTGTGTTTTGGGTCATTGTCATGCTGGAATACCCATCCACGACCCATGTTCAATGCCCTGGCTGAGGGAAGGAGGTTCTCACCCAAGATTTGACGGTACATGGCCCCGTCCATCGTCCCTTTGATGCAGTGAAGTTGTCCTTTCCCCTTAGCAGAAAAACACCCCCAAACCATAATGTTTTCACCTCCATGTTTGACGGTGGGGATGGTGTTCTTGGGGTCATAGGCAGCATTCCTCCTTCTCCAAACACGGCGAGTTGAGTTGATGCCAAAGAGCTCGATTTTGGTCTCATCTGACCACAACACTTTCACCCAGTTCTCCTCTGAATCATTCAGATGTTCATTGGCAAACTTCAGACGGCCCTGTATATGTGCTTTCTTGAGCAGGGGGACCTTGCGGACGCTGCAGGATTTCAGTCTTTCACGGCGTAGTGTGTTACCAATTGTTTTCTTGGTGACTATGGTCCCAGCTGCCTTGAGATCATTGACAAGATCCTCCCGTGTAGTTCTGGGCTGATTCCTCACCGTTCTCATGATCATTGCAACTCCACGAGGTGAGATCTTGCATGGAGCCCCAGGCCGAGGGAGATTGACAGTTATTTTGTGTTTCTTCCATTTGCGAATAATCGCACCAACTGATGTCACCTTCTCACCAAGCTGCTTGGCGATGGTCTTGTAGACCATTCCAGCCTTGTGTAGGTCTACAATCTTGTCCCTGACATCCTTGGAGAACTCTTTGGTCTTGGCCATGGTGGGTAGTTTGGAATCAGATTGAATGATTGCTTCTGTGGACAGGTGTCTTTTATACAGGTAACAAGCTGAGATTAGGAGCACTCCCTTTAAGAGTGTGCTCCTAATCTCAGCTCGTTACCTGTATAAAAGACACCTGGGAGCCAGAAATCTTTCTGATTGAGAGGGGGTCAAATACCCTCATTAAAATGCAAATCAATTTATAACATTTTTGACATGCGTTTTTCTGGACTTTTTTGTTGTTATTCTGTCTCTCACTGTTCAAATAAACCTACCATTAAAATTATAGACTGATCATTTCTTTGTCAGTGGGCAAACGTACAAAATCAGCAGGGGATCAAATACTTTTTTCCCCTACCTGTATATATATAATTTTTTTGACTGTTTTGCATGTTATTTTGGCATTAATACGTGTCACATATCAGTTCGCAAACAATGTAAAAAAATTAATAATCATTGAGTTAATAAAGCCGCATACAAACTTGGTCTCTTTTTTGCTTTATTGAGTAAGGCAGCTCCAAAATGCAAGTGTTTCAGCCTAGCTCAGTGCTTTCTGTGGTGGTGGGGTAGCCAGCAGAAAATACGGAGAGTAGGGGTTGGTAATGTTCTCTAGTGGCGCCGTGATTGGCTCAGTGTTCTGTCACTCATGGGGACACTACGTCACCGCCAAATCTAAGGGTAGAGCTCGGAAATTCAAGCCCCTTGGGTGCTGCCATAGAGTTACATTAGAAGTGCCCATTGAAGAAGGCTCAAGGTCATTGGCCAAAGATAAAATGACATCATCAAATCACGATATCTACAGTAGCTTTGATTGGACTGATCATGTCAATATCATACTCTCAAAATCTTAGCTAGCAAGCTAGCAGTCATCATCATCATGAAACAAGTGGACAATCTACTGGCAAATCCTTTTCAATCCTTTTAAAGAGAAATTAAAGATAAAACGTATCGGTGCTCATCGGCCATTGGACATAAACATTACACAACAAGTTGGAAATTGCAAATTTTCAACAATGAGGAATCAGTGGCTAACTGCAAGCATTGCAAAGCAATCACTAGCCTGATATTCAGTGGAGGGGGTGTGTGGTCCCAAATCTGAGTTTAAGGGTCTCTTTTCCAAGTTTAAAAGGATAAAAATTCAACATTGGCCATGCTGTCAATCCAGCATCACTTCTGCCGCGATCAAAACAACTGGAAACTCGGAAATGGGAAATCTGACTTCAGTGAGTTCAAGACAACTGGGAACCCGGAAAAAAACGAGCTCCGACTGGAAAAATACGCTTTGAACGGTCATCCAAGACGGAATTGCAAATCGGCCCTAACAGTTTGTGGGCACCGTTTGTCACTGTTATAGTGCAATTAATGTATTGTTTAGTGTTGTGTTGTGTAGTGGCTTTGCTGGCATGCATCCCCAACAAAATTGGGGTAGTTTGCCCCACCAAGATTTACATGCTAAAATTGCCACTGATGAGGCCACAAAAAAGTAAATGAATCCATACAGCCAAATAATAATTCATAATAGATCAATAATTTATTTCCATACATTTCATATCAATATTAATATAATTGACGTTTTTCTCATAATAGTAGAAATATGTGTCAATCACCCAC